TCTCAAACTCTCCTTTGGTCCAGGAGGTAACAATGCCTGTTCTTTTGCATTACCCATGGAGCTGTCTCCTTACCCTGCCCTAGGAGTATTTTTACCTAAGTACTTTATCTAAGAGTATTTTTTCCAAGTGACATGCAGTCTGGTATGATCTGGTTTTGTTTTTAATGCTTTTCAGAGAACAGCTTAAATTTTTGTTTGTTTGTTTTGCTTTATTTCTTATTATTCTGATGTAGAATACACCACTCTGAAGCATACAGGATTGATTATTATCATGGCTAACCAAGCAATGCTACTTATCATGGTCTTATCTTTCCAGATAGCAACTGAAAGCAGGCTTGCTGTGATTTCTGAGTGCACCTAAACATACTTGAACTCTGAAGATATTTAAGCAAAAGTCTTGATACACATGTCAAAAAAGATTGTTGTAATGTTCCAAATACTCCTGGGTTTGGAGTACATACTCTTGCATGTACAATTAGAGGTCAGAATTTAGGCTGATGTTGGGGTTTCTTTTGCATATGGCTGAGAATAAAATGTAAATGGATCTGAAGGAACTCTAAAATGTGGAAAAATTATCTAACCAGGTTTATTCCCATGTTCCCATTTGGGAAAGGCAAAGCCATGGAACTCACCAGAGCACTTTTTCTGTTCTGTTCTCTAGGTTTGTATATCCTGTACTCCTGAGGATTGATTTCTTTGCCTGGTTTGGCTATCTTGTTTTTATCCTAGCTTCTCCCAGCTTCATTGGAGTCTTGCTTGTGTCCAATCAGTCTGTACTGTCCTTCAGCTTCTGGCTGTCTTTCTTACAAATCTGTGTAATGCAGAGATAGAAGCTGCTGCAGGAGGTTTTCTAGCTCAGCATGATGCCATACCAATATTAACATCTGAATGTGTGACCTTGTTCAGTATATGCAAGGTAGGTATTTTTCGTCTGTCCAATGTACTGCTTAATATTAACGAGGTGTGCTGTGTAAAACAGTACCATTAAATTTCTCCCAGCTGGAAGCCTTATTTTGATGTTAACTTACCCAGTACAGAATCTGGGGAGAATTTGAGCCATGGCTTAGAATACAGTTCTGGTAACAAGTGACTCTGGAGCTAGGCACTAATGCTGTGTGACACCCTATAGCCCTAGTATCAACAGCTCACGAGCAAAATCCTAAATTCATGTAGCAAGTACAAGGATCCTTCTTTGTGTCATGGTTTGTTTCTTGTGGGACTTACTGGAGGCCAGATGAAGTCTGCTATTTCCAAAACGATCAGGGAGAAATTAATGAATCAACATAGTAAATAAGTCACTGCTTATTTCCTGAAACAGAGAGCACCTGTAACATACAAGGGGTAGCTGCCTGGCAGGAGGCTGGTGGCACTTTTAGGTGTATAGGAATGTTGGGACTGGGTAGAGAGCTAGGGACAAGTGGGTACACAGAACCAAGTGTGTGGTTTGGGCTATGAGACCTTTTTTGTCAGGTGTTCTGCCTCTTCAATACCTCTTTCTGTTCCTTGATAATAAAGACCATGTTTGTGTGGGATCTGACCTCGGGGGAGGTTAACACTTCTGCTGAGGAAAGCCAAGTCACACTCCTTTCAATCCTGTTTGCTGTTGCTTGCAAGGCTGTTTCTATTTGTGTTGTCCTTTGGGTGTGATGCCTGCAAGGTGGGAATTGCCTAAAGCTTGATTTGTTTGGTGAGAGAAGGAAGGCCTGTTTGTCGAGTATGTTCTCTTCTGAACTTCAGCTTTTGCCAACTTAGTCCCAGTCCTCAGGCTAAAGACACAGGTGTGAAGTGAGGTGAGCTATAAAAAGAAAAACACCCCAAACCCCAGAAACACATGGAGTGGGCTTGTGAATGGGGGAGAGGAGGAGGTTTGCTGCTGATTCTGGGTTATGTGGAAGGCAATGAGGGTCTGAACCTGTTTTTCAGCAACCCAGGGTATCCTGAGGCTCTGTGTGCACCTACTGACAGTGCTGCAGCAGGTAGCTGGAGAGCAGGGTCTCTCATGTAGGAGCCCTCTGGCTATGCCTGGGGTGGGAGAGGCTGCTTTTCTCTTTGTCTTTAAGGATTTAGTCTGCCTTGAGCAGAACAAATAATGTGGGAGATGCCCCATACCAGCCCCTCCTCTCTGAGCAGGCTGAGAGGCTGCAGCTTTCTTGTTAAACAGGTTTAAGGTCACCCTCGAAATCAATCTCACATTTGAACTATATCCTTTGCATGTGCAAGATATTGCTTCTCTGCAGCACCTCAAGGACCACCCATGGACAGAAGCATCTTTAATGCTGATATTGCACAGACTGGTTTAAAAGAAGTGTTTTTACTTCTTGGAGACTTTAGAGATAAAAGTGATGAGTCTGTGTCAACTTTGTATTTGAGTGGATTTGAGAGGAGGGTTATCTAAATGCTGGCTTCTCTTCTGGAGAAGTGGAAGTTACTTAAGCAGCTGATGACTCAGCTTCTCTGACTGTAGGATGCAGATGAGAAATGTTGGCTTTCCAGATAATGAATGAGATTTTCCCATTTGGGATGCACTTTGCAATATGTAGGGTGTTAAAAATGGTGGTATGAAGGTCAGTGAGTAAACTCATATTCTTTGACCCTTCATAAGATGACATAGCCATGTAGTTACCTCCAGTCTGATCGCCCAGAAGAAGACAGTGAGGTCATGAAGTTTCTGCTCATGTGTTGTTGAACAGCAAAAAGGATGAACACAGGACTGCTTCTTCCACAGAAGTTTTTAATATACAATGATATAAAGAGAAGCTCTGGAAAATAAGGAAATACAGATAGGGTACTCACAAATCTTCTAGTGATGCCTTGGGAGTCACTGTAGTATGACACAGACTTAAAAATGTTTGGGTGGTGGGAGCTGAATTAGACTAGTGAAATGGTTTTTACTTTCTAGTGGGACGCAGATTCCTTGCAGCAAGGTCTCTGCTCCACTCTTGTGTAATAATGGCTTTCCCTTTAAAGCCTTGTATTTAATGGCATTCTTCAACAAATACTGAAGCAGAAGCAGCTCTCTGAACAGAAATTTTGGGTGAGGTGTCAGAGGAATGAGCAGAGTTAATTCCAGTGAGTCCCTTCCCAACACTGTGGCATGTAGTTGGGCTCAGTGGTGAATTCTCACCACAAATCAAGAAATACTTTGCAAGATGCCCTACAGAGCTGTTCCCTGAGTGACCTTTCTGTGCTAGGTCACTTCTACCCACTGATGCCAAACCATGAGTGGGGTTTAGTGGATGGGAGAGGGAGGTAATGTGGAAAAGGGATGTTTGCCCATTGGATCAGTCTTGGTCATGGAACGCTGCTGTCGGGTGCTTGCCAAGGTGACATGGGAAAGTATTTTGTTGGTCGTTTAAGCAGATGAATTATTGCTGTGTCCTCCCAAAATGGTGTTTCATTTTTGCACTTTTTTTCCTGAATAAAGCTGTCCTTGTTTCCTACCAGGCTCTGCACTGGCCTGTGGAGGAACAGTGCCTGGCTAGTGTTGCCAGAGATGCAGCTATCTGGAGGAGCAGACAGGTATATGGGGGTGGTGATCACAGTGCTCTGTATTTGTAGAAGGGATATTGTGTGAATCCATAGGTTATGGATGCTGACATCTCCTGACAAAGGTCTTATAAACCCTAGCTGTCATCTTTAAGTCAAGAATTCATTCTTCTTGGTCTGCCAGCCATACTGGCTGCCTCTGAAGTTATGCATGTTTTCCCTTGTAAATATTTTCAGTGGGCTGTTTTCCCAGGGGCACTTTGCTTACCATCTTCTCCATCTTCCCTGTCTGCAGAGTAACTTTTTAGACCAAGAGAAGGGGAGAGGATGTTGTTTGTAGCAATCAGTATTATAAACATGCCCTGTATGGTTATTTTTGAAGATTAACAGTTCTCACTGTCATTCCCAGAGTGACTTAGCTCCCCAGAAGTGTTCCTGCTTTGTTCCTACGAATAGGACAGTCTTGTCTTTCACCCAGCTTCCCAGCTGAGGAGAGAGGAAAGAGAAGTTGAGCAAGGATTCACTGTGATCATGACTCCTTCCTTCTTCATCCTAGCTCAACACAGAGCTGCCTGGAGGCTGCTCTGCTTTCACACAGCTGACAAAATTGCACTCCTGCCACTCTTCTTTGCCCTGGCTTTCTCTCCCTGGTAGGGTAATGCCAGGGATCCCCTGCTACGTGTGCAGCTGTGGGGGTGACACAAGCCCAGCTTTGTGTTCCATGTGCCATTTAGAAGCTGTTTTCTCATTGCTGATGATTGGAGCAACATCCATCTCCTTGTTTACAAGGATGCAATTGTAAGATGATCAGAAAAGCTGAGTTTCTGAGGCTACTACTTATTCTAAATACTGAAATGGATTCCTGCACTAGCAGGAAGAATCTCATAATATATAGATAGACCTTCTAATCTGTTCTGCATTAGCAAATGATGGAGGCAGTCCAAACTGCAATAATGGAGGTTTGTGTGATGGAAAGCTGTCAAGATCCTTTTAGGTACATCTTGGTGATTTAAGTTGGGCTGAGTGCTGTCCAGCTGAGCTCTTGGGCACAGAGGTTTGACCTGGGTGGGGACTGCAGATCCCTGTGTGCACCATTACCAGCCCTGCCTGGGATAGTTGACAGGTGTGCTGGGCTGTTCCAGTGCTGCCTCCTTCAGTGTGGTGAAGACCATAAAAGGTGGCATCTTCATCACTAGTCCAAAATTGTTTTCTCTAGTACTGAGGGGAGAGCCACTAGCTTTGGACTGAGCATACACTCAGACTTGCTGAAGTAAGTGCCTGCAGGGCAACTGTGCCTGAGAACTTTTTGATTAATGTGTGGACACCTGGGTTTGGAGTCTCTCTGAGGCTGCTTTCCTATCACCTGCCTGTGTCTGGGCACAGTCCATGACTTCTGTAGATCTTTCTCAAAGTGGCACCTACTGTTTCCCATTTCTTGTGGGAATCCTCATCCTCCCATTGATTGCCTGGTTTCTATCCTGTTTTTTTATTTTTTTTTATCTCCATAGCTCCATGGTCTTTCCTTTGTACAGAGGGAGAAGAGTTACAGTGGTGGACTTCCTTGAGGAGCAGAGGCTGGATGAAGGGGCAACATTTTAAGGTCTCTGGTCTCTTAATGTGCCTGGACAAAGTTCAATTGTGTGGCATCTGTGGGATGTCTGGGTGCACATGACTGTTTTTGTGGGCTTAGAGTTCTTTATGTGACTTCCCTTATTTTCAGCATTATTTTCTGGTCCCTTCCTATTGCTTTTCTTTCATCTGTTGCTTTCTGGTGTGTGAGAACAGTGCCCAGATCTTCAAGAGCTCTGCCCCATGCACAGCAGATAAAAAGGAAACATTTGTGGCTGGTGATGTCCAGAGGTCTGGAGCAGTCAAGGCATGGCTGTCAAGTCTTCACCTGGGGAAGCAGGTAAACGTGTCTGTGTTTGATAACTGCAGGGCCTGTAAACCAAAAAAGAGCTGTAGCCTTTTCCTGCAGAAGGACAAGTTGCCTCTATAATGGGTGAGGTGGACAGCAAGCAGAAGTGGCTTGTCCAGATATTTTACTGTCTTTCCAAGTAAATGTGTATGTGCTTAGGGAGTTGATTAAAAAAAAAAACAAACCTGGTTTTGTTTTTTGGGTTTTTTTTTTGTCAGTGGAGTAACTTATATGTCCATGTCAGCTCTTCAGGAAGTATTGTGTCAGTGAGAGTGTGGAGTCTCCTGATCTCTTTTAACTCTTTGACCTTACTTAAATTCCCTGAGTTCTCAGCAAACAAAGATTAATTGAATGCCTTTACACATTCAGTGGAAGCTCATGCTGCAGTGACCTTACTGATTACCACTGACAAGAGCAGGAAGAATTGGACTTCTGAGCTTTTACAGACACAGCTTTTCATCACCGTGTTGGAAACAGATCTTGTCCCAGGGGGAAGGAACATGTTGGTGTGCAGAAGGAGGTGCTATGCTTCTCAGCTCTTTTGGAGGTTTGACTAGCAAATAGATACTTGGAAAAAAATAGCAAATTAGCTGTCAGCTGATAGTAGATGAAGCAACATAGTTGCTGGTGTCTTTAAATGTGTTTGTTTTTAGTGGAAAGGCTGTACTGTAGCTTGAAGTGTCTTCTCTTTGGCCTGATTTGTTCAAGAGAAGGAAGTATTGGCTAAAGAGAAGGTGAGGTGTTTGGATTAGATGTTAGGCTGGAGCTCAGGAGATTTTAGCTATGTTTTCAGGTAGGCTGTCAATGAGACATGACCACAGGCAAGTCATGAAACATGTCTATGACCTTGTCTTTATCTTATTTACTTGAATCTTAAGCTCTTTTGAATAGAGTTTGACATTGCTGACTATTTGCAGAATGTAGTGCAGTGAATTTGCTTTCTGGGCCAAACCTTTGGATGCTGCTGTTCTGCAAGCAGTAGCTCAAGTTCATCTCTTTCAACTGTGTCATTAGCCTACAGAAATCCATAACCTCTGCTGAAGCTTCCTTTGCACCCAGCTGCATGTTTGGAAGAACTGTGCACCTAGATATTAGCAGAGGAGCTGAGAGGCTGCATCGAGAGGCTGCATCACATTATAAGTATTTGTGCACTTTCTTTTAATGTGCCTTGCCAGTGCTGGCTGCCCTTTGCCAGTGTCATAAGCAAAGCAGCCGTTGCTCATCTAGGTAATGTGTTGTGTCCTTACAAAGTCATTGGCACAGGTTTCCCTGGCACTTAGTGGGCTTTACCTCAGTGCCAGATTCCCTCTGTCACCTCGATGGATTGCAGTAACACCCAGCAGTAATGCTCTCCACAGTGCTGATCCTCTCCTGAGTCTGAGCCCTCTGGGGCATGTCCTTATAGGTCTTTATCGTTTGTCCCCAGAGTCTTGTGACATCATCACTTACACTACACTGCTTGAAAACATTCCTTCTCCCTTACCTTGTTCTGCCCATCTGTCTCTGTCTGCCTTGCCTGTCCAGGCTGTAAGCCTTTGGAGAAAGGGCTTAGCTGTGTCACTCCTGCTACACTCAGTCTTAGCTTGTCACTTGGTGGGGAGTAGCCCCTGAACTCGCAGAACAGCTTTGATTATATTAGGCAGGTCTAATTATAGGGCAGCTAAGGTCTCCAGTGGAGCCTCTAAGCACAATAGTAATATACACAGTAATTTGGGTAGCTGCTTATGTTCTGAGACCTCATAATAACCAGAGCTGGAGCAGGTCATTTTGTCTTTTCCCTGAGTGTATATTTTGATGGGTGAAACAGGCATCTCTGCAGTGTGCTTGTCCTATTAAAATAGTTTCTATTATGACATTTCCTATTTGGAGAAGTGATTACAGATGCAATCCCATATGACACTAGGTTACTCTCTCCTGATCCTACTGTAGTTATGCTCTTATGGGCCCAAGAGTGCTAAAACTTGTTTCCATGTATTTTTGCTTTCCTCAGTAAAAAGCAACATAAATACCTGGTAATCTGATGGTTGAGCCTGTGCAGTACAAACCCAGCATTAGCCCACTGGCTAACTGCACTTAGCAATACTGTTTCTGGAGTAATGCGCAGTCTGGCAGAATCCAAACTTGCAGCAGCCCAGCACTGAGTGTGCAACCACTGCTGGATCCTTGAAGTGGCCTCAAAAACATGGTAACACTGGGAAAAATAACAGCCAAGGCACAGAATGAGAGCTGGTCTCATGAGAATCACTTCTACATCAATCTGTGGGTGATCATAAAGGATCAAGTAGTTATGCTGACAGAGAAAATAAAATCTATGTTGTGTGTGCTAAGGAAGTTGCTGCCTCAGTCTGGGACATCGAAGTTCAGTTTTGTCATTACAGGTGAGTTAAAGAGGACACCCACAAACTGTCCCTGTTCTCTGGGTAAGGCCATGACAGCTGTGTTGTGCTCATGCCTACCAGACATTTGCTAAAACTACCTCCTGTTGACCTTCTGATCTGTATTTTAGCTTCTTCCATTCTAGATGTGCCTGAAGCACATTCAAAGTGCTGGATGTCCAGGCACAAGTGACACATTCTCTTCTGTCTGCAGCTGTGATCCAGAACGGTGTTTACCTGTGAAGGATGAAGGAGGACAGCCACTCTGATTACTGCTGAGAGTTGAATTTAGGTGTGCAGGCTCTGATAACCCAAGCTGGAAGCTGGCCAAGGACGCTAAGGTGAACTGCTTTTGGGTGAAGTGGTGCAATATCTCTAATGACCAGAGGGACCAGGTTTTGTTTCCCTTAAACTGTTATCATCATGGGGAATTTTACACTGTTCTTAGGTTTGCAAGGAGAGGCAGAGGGAGAGCACCATTTTATTAAGCAAAGCCTCTGGGGAAGTAGAAAGGAGGTGCTTTTCTCAAAACCTTGACATGTAGCACCCTTGTCACCTATCTCATACCAGCAATACAGACACTCCCTGCTGGCATTCCCCCTTCCATCAGTGTCAGTTGGTCTCACTAAGGCTCGTTTCAGCCCTGTACCTGTGTTTTTCCCTCAGCTTCACTCCAGGTTAACTCTCAGCTGTGCTTTGCTCCTGCCTGGAGCTGTGTGCCTGGAGCCTTCAGCACTGGGAGAGCTCCACCGGGCAGTGCCTGGCCATACAGGTGGTTGCTGATTAGTTTGCATTGAGCACATTTTTAATAATTCTGTTCAGATTAGGATTTGTGCTCTGCCTAGCTCCATGTCGACTCTCCAGCTCAGGCTGAAGCATTGGACTTTGGGAGCAGTGATGGTCTTCCTTGACCTCCCTAAATATACTCTGGACAAGCAGGGCCTGTGCCCAATCCAAGCCTGGGCAAGTTTCCTGCTACCTTGCTCAGAGTTTCTGAATTGGAATTGGTTTTTGTCTTAGATTTGCACTTCACTGCATTGTGTGCAGCATGGATCTGTCCTTAGAAGGGGAGGATCTGCTTCCACCTAGAAGAATCCTTTAACAAAGTGATTTAAAAAAAACGAGAATAGGGCAGAATTTGCAGGACAGAGAAACCCTTATCCCAGAAGCTAAAGGCAGGATCACAGAAAACATGAAGTGGTGAATAAGAGCAGGCAACAAAAACTTCAGATACTCTGCATAGGTAAAGCAAAATTATTTTTGGCTCTTGTCATGTATTTGGAGCAGAACTCCCTTTCTATGTGAAACAGAATGCCATGAGGTTTTAAGTTCTCCATGTGACCAGATGGGGTTTGCCGCAACAATAGGGTTTCTGCTTGGTTTTGGGAAGGGCAGCAGTTTTGCTGGCAACACAAAAGGCTAAGTGTGATAAAATAAGGAACCTTCTTCCTCCAGCACATCTGATTTATGAAACTGCTGGAAATCAAAACTTCTTTGCCATTTGGATAATTTTTTTTATTCGTCCAAACTGTACTGGATGTTCTTCACATATTAATTTGTGGATTACAGAATGTTCTAGGCAAAACATCAGTGGGACAGTAAAATGTTAATACAAGAGTTCAGCTGACATAAAATAAAACCACAGTGTTCTTCTAGCCTGCTTAATAATGACTCAAGTGAAATGGGGACAGTTGTGTGGTCTAGTGGCTAGTGAGGGGTGTGGTCCTCTGGATTCCTGGAGCTGCTTCCCAGCTCTTCTTTCCCATGCTGGGTGACCTTAAACAAGTTTACCCCTTGTAAATTGGAGCCTGATGTCTGGCTAGGAAGGCTTATTAGGAAACTTAATTTTTGAGAGAGCATTTTGGGAACTTGAGATGACAGGTGCTAAATAAAGACATTTCTCTCTATTAAGTAGCTCTAAGAAAACACACTCGGATTCCAATTTTGTGACATTGGTACTTTGGGAACTCATCTTTCGGCTTTTTATGAATTGAACACTCTTAATCTGAAAGACAAACGTGGATATTCCTGACCATTTTGCTGGAATGATAGTTCCAATTGTCAGCACTTTGGTTTAATGTCATCAAAAGAACAATGGTTTAATTTCCATGTAATCAAATTATTCTGGATTTAAACAGAACTGTGTGGCAGTGATCACAAGACCAGCAAAAGGTGCCCCAGAGCCAGGAAGTTAAATTGATCGTAAATGGCAGTAAAGCAGACTGGCTGAGCTTTGCTTTCTGAGCCGAGTGTAAGGTATCAGTGGGGAAAAGCAAAAAGCAAACAGAAGGAAAAAGAGTGTTGCAGAAAACAAAGACTGGACATGCAAGAGAAAAGGATTGTCCTGCAGAATACCACTGTCAGAGCACCTAGGAGGCTAATTCTGCACAGATGTAGCTCTTGAAAGGGGGCAGCAAGCATCCTCATGCCTCAAAGCTTGTGTATGATGTGAGGTTCCAAAACGCTGAGATGCTGTGATAGTAGAGACCATACAGGTAGAAAAAAATAACCTGTGGAGTGGATTCCTGGCTGAAGGATCTTCAAGTTTCATCCTAATTAATTTTTCTCTAATCTAAATTTTCAAACAAAGAAAACTTTTTACTCATCAGCCTATTTTTTCCTCTTCCAATCCCCTCCACTGAGAGAGCTCAGGTCTGAATGGCTGATCAGAACTTCCCCAGCAGTGTGGCAGGGAGGGTCTGACTGCTTCTAAACAATGAAGTGTGAGCTGAAGTCTTTGGGAAGAAAGTTTGGCATGCTCAGTGTTTGCACCAGAGTTTTGCCATTGGATTTTGCTGGAAGTGGATCAAACTTTTACTTTGAATGTACCTACGATCAATTAATTTCAAGCTGTGTCCTCATCTATAGCCAGAACAAATCAAGATTTTTCTGTTCCTTCCCCAAATGCACAAGTGACATCATATTGTTGGGTAAATGTTGCTTTCTTGTCCAGCCAGCAGTTTGTCCTGGCTTGAAGTTTGGTAGCAGTTCCCTGCACAGTGTGTACTGTACTGCACAGGACACTTGGAAAGTGTGCCTTGCATTTGCAAGTAGTTGCTACGTATTTATATAGCAGAGAAGCAAGGATATCTGATCTATGTGTGCTAGGCAGACAAAGGCAGGCTTGTGGCTAATTTAGATCTCCAACCCTCATTGCAATGAAAACTACTCTTTTGCATGCACTTGTTCCCAGCATTAAGGTTTAGTCACTACTTACTTGCAAGGAGCCATTTGCAAGCTAAAGTTTGCTCGGAGCTCTTGCATAGCAGTCCAATCAGCCCATATAAACCTTTTGGCTGTGAAGAGAAGCTGGTGTGGATCAGAATGTCAAGGTCCCACTGGAATACTGGGTAAAAGAGTGTTGTGATCCAGAGTGCCCACTAATGAGGTCCTCATGCCTAATATGACAATACATCTCTTCCACAGGTGAGGGTTTATTTGCACTCATTTCTCTTTAAAATCTATGTCATAAACAGGGCCCCACCTTGCTACTCCAATGAAAATAGAAATTAGCTTTTTATAAGACTTTTTGGAGTTCTAGTCCCTTGAAGAAAAATATCAAGATGTCAGGACTACCAGAAGAAGGGACACAACAGTAAGGCAGGTTTAGCACCATTACAGTAAGAAAAGGTGATGAGATGTGGTTGTGTGATGATGATCATGGTCTAACGTGGAACCAGTGAGAAAAGCAGAGTGCAGAAGAGGCATAGGAAGGTGTGTGAGGCTGGTTTGTTCTGGAGCAGCTCCTCTCTGCTGTAAGAATCCAGCTGCAAGTTGAGCCAGAGCAACTGGACAAGTAATCCCCTTGATAGCAGGGCTTTGGTGCATCTTTGGTACTGGCAGGACCCAGTGGGTGGAAATGCTCCTGGGGAAGGAATGGCTGCTGTGCCTCAAGCTGCTTCTTCTTCCTCCCATCTTATCCCTCACCACTGAGCTAAGAGGTGACTGCTTCTGGGTTGTCTGAGGGAAGGAGAGGTTCACCTGAGGAACACAGCTCTGATTTCTTCCTGTTCTTAGTACCTGTCATTCTAAAGCAACATTCTAAATGACTGGGGCCCTGGACACTCACCAGGATCAAACAATGGAGAGTTTTCATCCCCTTCCAAATCTGACCAAGGTTTTACAAAGCCCACAGGAGCTCCCCTATGCAGACTCAGTCTGAGTAGTTCACATCAATGCACCAATTTATAATATCTAACAAATTCCCAGTATCCTGGGACTCTGCTACAGACAGATGTGTTACCATTTTGCTGATGTGGAATTAACAATAGAATTATTTAGAGAGATGGTGATAGGGTTTTGACTCTATAGTGTCTGACTCTCAAATGTATGCTTTCCTATGTCTAACCTCCATAGATATTATTTAGAACAATTTCTCCTTCCAAACAAAAAATAATTTTGGGAAAGACACATTCTCAGCTCAGCTATGAAATGTCATCTTTGCGGTGACAATGATTATGGGATGCAGAAAATGCATGCATAATTATTCTCACTGCTCAGAGAGCAGCAGATAGGCCCATTTCCTGCCTCCTGAAATATATAACCAAACACTTTTCCTCATGCTGTCTGCTCTGTGAATTTTCATGAGCTTGTTCCCTAGGGCTCGTTGTGAAATTATTCTAATTTTTCGAAGTAGGGAGAAAAAATGAAATTGTTCTGTTGGAAATGGCATTGATTTGTCTATGAAGTCATTACAGCTGTTTCTCTCTTGAAGAAACAAGAAGAGGAATTCCTGATTTATTTTTTTATTAATATAGGGAGGTGGGAAGCAGTTTGACAGTAAAAATGCAGTGAATTTTGGAAGCAGTTCTTGAAGTGCTTTCCTATTATGCATGTGAGAATGCAGAACAAGGACAATAAAGAGTATTTTCTGACTTTCAGAGGTATAGCTTGGTCTGTGTCAATAGTTATAACTATCTTGGTGTTGGGTAATTTATTAGATGCAAAGGGTTGTGTTTGACAGCCTGAACTTGTCAACCTTGAGTCACATAAGGGAAGGCCCAGCAGAGTATATAATGCAAATGTTCACGTAGTATAATGAAAAATACCCTTCTGAACCATTTTCCATTAAAAATGAAAATTAAAATTACTTAACAAAACATGCTTTTTCTCCCTGTCTTTTAGCAACAAACAAAAGCTCCAATGTGCAGTCTAAAATTGCTCATCAAGGGGAGAGACCAGGCTAGGACTTAGTAAATGGCTTTTTTTTTTTTTCCTTTTTGAATAAAGCAATTAAAGGGAACATGTCATCTTCAGTACATTGCTAAGGTAGAACAGTCATTGTGCTTTCTGGCACTCCATCAAACTGCTCCTTGTGCATAGTTATTGGAGAAAGTGCATT